TAATTGGAGGGTGGCTCCTAATAATTGGAGAACATCTCTGCCTAGGAGAGGAACTGGACAGGATGGAATGACCAGAATAGTGAGTGAATGGGTGTCCCTCCAGGACACAGGCCAGCTTTACAGTTCTGTTTGGGGGGAATGGTTTGTCATTAATCCCCATAACTGAGACCTGGGAAGGAAACAGAGGCCTAGAATGGGTAGGCAAGACAGAATAGGGGGCTGGGGATGTGGCTCAAGTGGTAGCGCACTCACCTAACATGCGTGCGGCCTGGGTTCGATCCTCAGCACCACATACAAACAAAGATGTTGTGTCCGCCGATAAATAAAAAATAAATATTAAAAAAATCTGTCTCTCTTTAAAAAAAAATTACTGAGGTCATTAGTGATTTCAGTGATTAAAAAAAAACTAATTAAAAAAAAAAAAGACAGAATAGGTAGCCCCCATGTCCACAAGGAAGGTTATGGAATTACCCGCTGCCTGGAGCAATACCCTGGGCTCAGAGAGGGCTGAAAGGGTCTTTGAATCTGGGCTTCTTCAGTCTTCTGCAAACCCCAAAAGTTCAGGAGAAATTACTGCCTGACTGGTCATACCCCTGCATACAGGCGCCGTGGAAGGGCCAACCATGGGGCAGTCAATCTTCCAGTGTCCTGTCTGCTTACAGGTGGGGCATGGCCTGGAAGGAGGCCATGGGTTTGGGCATTGGCGAGCCCAGTGACTTTCACATCCATATTTGAGGCAAGCCTCTGGTGGAGAGGAATTCTGGTTCCCCTCTGAAACTTGCTGGAGATGTAGGCCTCAGGGCTGCTGTCAAGGCCTGAGTTTGGGGTGTTACCTTCTTTTCTGCAATGGAGCCTGTTTTAAAGGCCATTTTCACCAGATCATAGATAGGGGTCTGAGAGTCCTCATCAGCTCATTTGAGCTTTTTCTAATATCATGAACTGATTGAGTAATGAAATGGGTTGCTAACACTGTAGTCCTGATGGGAGACTCAAGATCTAGCTTAGTGTATTTGGTTAGGGCCTCTGTAAGCTGGTTGAGAAATAAGGATGGATTTTCATCAGGGTCCTGGGTAATGTCCTTCAGTTTATCAAAGTTAACTACCTTATTAGAAACTGCTTGCATGCAGTTAGGTTCAGTTATGGGACGTGTACTCAGACTATCCCTTCGGCACCAGCTACTTCCCTGAGAGGACAAAGGAACTGTGAGTTATCTGATAAGAGGGATTAGTGGGACCAGGTGTGGGCACTGATAGGAGAAGAGAAGCGTGAGTAGGGGGAGGGAAAGGGCTTATCAGTAGAAGAGGTGAGCAGAGTCGGGGAGGAGGCTCGGAGGGATCCCAAGATCCATCCATTGCAGCCAGGTGGGACCCATCCTGCCTGCTGGTTGGAACCGGGCGGCAAGCGCCAATCCAGGGCTCGAGTGAAAGCTGCTGTGATGCAATAAAGGTGAAGGACGGTGGCTCGCCTGCCGGCTGAGTTGGGATCCCAAGGGCACACTACTGGCCTCTTTCACCCTGCTGCACAGGGAAGGTGGAGCACCAGTGCACGTGTCTGTGGCCAGGCAGACTAGAAGTGCACAGACAGGGTCACGGGCAGCGGTGGCGGCGAATAGGAAGAAGAGGGAGGGGAGGAGGATGTCTCCAGGGAGGAAGAGGAGGGGAAGTGCGCAGGAAGGGCCGCAGGCGGCAGTTGCAGCAAGGAGAGGGAGAGGACGCGGATGCGGTACCGCTGGGAGGGAGAGCAGACATGAAGATGGGTGGGAAGGGCGCAGAAGGAAGATTGAGAGCAGAGAGCAGAAGGCAGGACGGGAAGACCTGGGAACCTCTTTCTACCCTTTCAGGCACTGGCAATAGTTAAAAGATCCCGGAGGAAATTTGGATCTAATGGGCCTTCTGGAGGCCATTGATTGTCATTATGTAACGGATATGTGGGCCAATCTTGGGTACAGAATCTGATAAGAATTTTGGGCTTGAGGTCCGGGGAGAGAGAGAGTAGCCAAATTCTTAAGGAGACACTTGAGTGGTGAGGTTTCCGGTATAGACGAGGAGGCACCCATGGTTAAAGAGTGGAGGAAGGGACAGCAAAGGGAGAAAAAGAATTAACCCGGTCCGTGGGCTTCCTGGAAGCATAGAGCAGATGGAGGATCACTTGGGTGTCCCCAAAGTGACCAGTCCAATGCGAGTAGGCACAGAGGGCACAGCGCGGTCGTCACCGATGAAGTGCAGTCTGTGTGACCCTGTAAGGTCGAGGCCATGGGCAACATAACGTCAGGAAAATTTTTCCACCAGAATGAGAGAGTGTCAAGGAAGGAAAGGACAGAGCCCTAGCAGAACATAGCTCCAGGCCAGAAGTTGAACACAGCTCTGGCGGGGCGCAGGTCCGGCGGGACGCAGCTCCGGTGAGACGCAGCTCCCGCAGAGGAGGAAGAAACCAGGGAGCCTCTCTCATGTAAACCCAGAAGCCTCACACCCCAAAGGGAAGCGGGTCGCCAGAGGGTCCACTGCGACCAGTGAAGGTCTTAGTGGGGTGCATTCCCTCCTCTCTACTGGGCATCAGGAGTGTGCTGGACAATCACGGTCGTGTCCCCTGCTGGCAGCTCAAAGGGAGTTGGCGAGCCAGGGAGGGGGAACTTACCTAAACCCGATTAGTGGTGAGTGCAGGGAGCCAGTGCCCAAAAAGACAGACAAGGGCGAAATGTGTCCTTGGTGACAGCGGTGGCGGAGACCGGGCTCAGTTTGTCGAGCACACCGTCTCCCGGGTTTTTGGCACCACTGTAAGACGCTTCACCGCACTACGAATGGGAGACACCACACCACACAGATCACTGGAGAGGTTCCACTTTATTACAAAAGGCTATGTGTTTATATAGATCTAAGGAGAGGTAGCAGGGCTGAGGTAGATAACAGGTTGCCGGTTTATTAGCAAGCTCTTCCATTTGTCAGTTCTGGAGCCCAAGAAGTTAATTCTTATTGGGGCTAAGGCTTCCCGCCCGCAGGATTTGAACATTGGCGCTGGCAGGAACATTTCGCGCCAGTGAAAGAAAAAAAAGAGGAGAAAGAGGGTCGTTAGGTGCCATGTTGGGGTTTTTCTCTGGGGTGCTGCTGCCGTTATATGTTTTCCCAATAATCCTCACAGCAATCTATTCTCATCAGAAGTAATTCAAGGACTGGGGCTGTAGCTCAGTGACAGAGCACTTGCCTAGCATGCATTAGGCACTGGGTTCAATTCTCAGCACCACATAAAAATAAACAAATAAAATAAAGGCATTCTGTCCATCTATAACTATAAAAGTTTTTTTTTAATCTAATTCAAGTGCTGGGGTTGTGGCTCAGTGGTAAAGTGCTTGCCTTGCCTAGCATGTGTGAGGCACTGGGTTCAATCCACAGCACCACATAATAAATAAAGGTCTACCAACAACTAATAAAATATTTTTTAAAAAAGAACTAATTTTGGGGCTGGGGATGTGGCTCAGGCAGTAGCGCCCTCGTCTGGCATGCGTGCGGCCTGGGTTCAATCCCCAGCACCACATACCAACAAAGATGTTGTGTCTGCTGAGAACTAAGAAATAAATATTAAAATTTTTCTCTCTCTCTCTCTCTCTCTCTCTCTCTCTCTCTCTCTCCCCTCTCTCACTCTCTCTTTAAAAAAAAAAAAAAAAAGAACTAATTTAATCCCATGAGACCAGAATCTCTTCCTTCAGAGAGGTCACTAATCCATTCTGAGAGTAATGCCCCATTCCCTAAACACTTTCCATTAGGCCCTACCTCTTTGAAGTTTCTACCATCCTTCAATTTCATCACACTGAGGACCAGTATAGGAAACCTTGGGGGATAAAACATATTCAAACCTTAGCAAGGGGTCCTATCTGGATGGTGCTAGGATGGAAGAAAATACAGGTCAGCACCTTCCAGAGATTGAGCATCAAGGAAGGAAATTGAATAGGGCCCTACATGAAGCTCAGGGAGAGGGCCAGTGCTTGAATGATTCATGTGAGGCTCTCTAAGCAGAAGTGCTATGGTTTGCATTTTGTTATGATTTAGATTTGAGACAATGCAAGGAAATTTAGAGGTAAAACTTGGGATTAGAATAAGTGCATTATTCCCTTGATAGGAATAATTGGATGGTAACTGTAGGCAGGTAGGGTGTGGCTAGAGGAGGTGGATACCTGGAGGCATGCCTTTAGGGTATATAGTTTGTCCTTGTTAAGCAGAGGTCCTGCCCCCCATTTCTCACACCGCTTCTTGGTGCCATTTTCCTCCACCATAGTCTTCTGCCAAGATGTTCTGCCTCACCTGGGGCACCAAAGAATGGAGGCGGCTGTCCATGGGCTGAAACCTCCAAAACCATGAACCCCCAAATAAACTTTTCCGCCTCTAATTCCTCCTCTTCTGTGTTTTGGTCACAGAAGCTAAAAATCTGACTAAAACAGATGTTGAATGTTCCCCAAAAATCTGTATATAAAGATTTAAGATGATAGCACTAGGAGGTGCCACTAGGACCTCCAAAAGTGGGGAGCCTGCTCAGGGGTCCTTAAATCATTGATGATAGGCTTTGGGAGATTATGGGTTTCAGGTCTTTCTCTCCACCTTTGTTTGAAATGTGACTGATTGATTTAATATGTGCTCCCTCTATAACGTGTTACCATCTATTTCCCTTACCAGAGGCCAAGTGTTCCCAATCTCCAATGAATCTTGAACTTTGAACCTATAAAACTATTGAAACCAGAGTTTCTCCACTTCTGCTGGTGGGTAGAGTTTGCCTAGGCTGCAGACCTCTGCAGCCAAGAAATGATGTTGTGGTTCTTAATGTGTTGCAGTAGACCCTAGCAGCTTACCACCAATGTCTTCTTTTTGAATTATTTTCGCATGGCATGGTGGACTTTAAACAACTGTAGCCATGTGGATGCACAGTATCCAGGACACCAGCAAAGGGCAGAGGCAGGCAGTCCATGGTGCAGCTGGACTACAGTGTGCTTTAGCCCACCCAGATTGTCAGTCTGGCACTGCTTCTCCACTACACTGCTCTGCTACTGCTGCTTCACAGGGATGAGTGGATTGGCTTTAAGGCTTGGCACCAGGAGTCATGTCAGTATGAGCTAAATAAACCTTTTCCCTTCATAAAGTTGCCTTGATTATTTTGTTGTAGGACCAAGGAGCTGACTTATATATGAAACTTTATCTGCCTGAGAAGAATCTAACTCCTTCTTCCAGCCAGGCCTCAGATGGTGTCTAGGAAATACATGGCCAGTGACAGAGACCAGCCATGGCAGAGTATCCCGAAAGAACCAACTGGCTGGAGACTTGACTATCTGAGAGGTCTACTCCAGGTAAAGATCCCCTGGACAAGATGTAGGATGCAGGTCTGGTCTCTGCACACCTTCAGCTTCATCCATCATCTCTTTCTCAGAATTTATTTATTTATTTATTTATTTTAAAGAGAGAGTGAGAGGGGGACAGAGAGAGAGAGAATTTTAATATTTATTTATTTTTTCTTAGTTCTCGGCAGACACAACATCTTCGTTTGTATGTGGTGCTGAGGATCGAACCTGGGTCGCATGCACGCTAGGTGAGCGTGCTACTGCTTGAGCCACATCCCCAGCCCATCTTTCTCAGAATTTAAACCACTAGTTTCCATACTGGAGATTCTAGAATGGCCTGCAGGTATCAAGGGAGTAAAGGTTCACTTCAGGATTGACCTTCCTGTGGTCTCTCTCTCCCTGAGGCCAGGTTCTGTGGCTGTTTCTTCTTTCCCTTTCCTGATCACCCCTGAGACTCTTACTATGGACTATTACTCTGGATGCCACCAACCCAAATGGAAATACAAATGGAAATAGCACTTTGCAGCAAATAGCAAGGAGAGACAGGCTCTAGGGTTCTGTTTGTCTCTTTGTCTATCTGTGGATCTTTGTGTCTTTTGCTCTATGCATTTTCTTAAATCAGAGGCAAGAGGGGGAGGGTTATCCTAGGGACCCTATTAAAATGTCTCTTGAGTTAGACAAGATGTCCACCTTATTCTTTTGTATGTTTGTGTGTGTGTTATACTAGGAATTTAACTGAGGGGAGCTCTTCCACTGAGCTACACCCTCAGCCCTTTTTATTTTTTATTTTGAGAGAGGGTTGCTATTTGAGGCCAGTTGCTGATGCTACCCTTGAACTTGTAATCCTCCTACCTCAACCTCTCAAGTAGCTGGGATTACAGTGCTGCCATTATCAGTTGTTGTTGTTGTTGTTGTTATTTGGAGATAAAACCTTGCTGGGTTACTCAGGCTGGCTTCAAAATCCTGAACTCAGGTGACCTCCTGCCTCATCTCCACCACCTAGTAGTCCAGATTACAGGTACACATCACTGTGCCTGACTTAAAAGTTAATTTCTTTTTTTTATTTTTTGTATTTATGAGGATCAAACTCAGCATCTCATGCATGCTAGTCAAGTGCTCTACACTGAGGTGTATTGCCAGCAATTCACAAAGTAATAATTTAGATGTCAACTTGAAAATGTACAATATAAACTGCTTGTTGGGTGTGTGGGAGACTCCCCACTAAAGTTAAGTTTCTGTCTCATGAGAACATCACAGAATCCCTTATCCCTCCCCCTCCTCTCCAAAGGGCTGAAGAATGCCAAATTCAAAGGTTTTCTCAACCAATCCCCGCAGGACACAGTGTCTGCTTGCTGTTCCTGAGTCACCCTGCCAATCAGCACCTGCCACGTTACCTATGCAAGCCTTCTTTAAAAATAAAATTTTTTTTCAGTTGTTGATGGACCTTTATTTTATTCATTTATTTATATGTGGCACTGAGAATCGAACCCAGTGCCTCACACATGTGAGGCAAGAGCTCTGCTACTGAGCCACAACCCCAGCCCTATGCAACACTTCTTAAGCCAAAGCTTGCACACTCTCTACCTTCTTCCTCTCTGCCCTCTTCCTCTTCTTTCTCTCCTTTTTTCTCTCTTTCTCTTTTCCTCCTCTTCTCTTCTCTCTGCTCTCTGCCTCTCCTTTTCTTCCCCTTTGGGCAGCCCCCCAATAAAATCTTTTGGTTGAATCTCCTTCTCAGGTGAGGGTGAATCACTTGCCTTTCATTGGTGCTGTAACTCGGATGGGACTCCCTGCCAGAGATCACCACCTGAGAGGAGACCAACCTGCACCCATCTTCTTGATGGCCTCCTTCGCATCCACCATCGGCCCTCGAATTGGTGAGTCCCCCTCTATGGACTCCTAAACCCGCAGAGGCATGGTAACAGGGAACTGACCGTTGATTGTCTGGCAGCCCCTGTGGCGTCTCATGGGGAGGAATACACCCCATATAGACCTTCATGGTCACAGTGGTCCTTCTGAGTCTTCCCCTTCCAAGAGGCCTCTGCCAGCTTGAGAACTGACAAACCCCCTTCCCTCCTTGAGCTTGGGTCTCCTCCTCCCCCTCTTAATCCTGACACCAGGTGACCCATAGCTCCCACGCCCTCTGGGAGGGCCCCTCACTAGAGGATTTCGATGAGGACCGTATCCTCTGTCTGAGGTCTGGTTCTGATATTTGGCTCCAGTGGGATGCCTCTTCAGTCAACATAACATGCCCTTCCTCGTAGCACAAGGGGAGGCGCCTCTTCCCTGCTGGCCTGCCCTCTCAAATGCCTCCTCGACAATTTGGACACCCTCAGCCTAACCCCGAAGATCAAACCCAAGAAACTGATAAAATTCTCTACTCAGGATTGGCCCAATTATCCCTTAGATAACTCTAAACATTGGCCCCTTATGGGTCCTTAGACCCTGCTATTTTACAGGATCTCTATAATTATTGTGTACAATCCAAAAAATGGGCAGAGATTTTATATATTCAGGCTTTCTTCCTCCTTTGCTCGGATCCATCTCTCTATATGTCCTGCAACCCAAAGCATGTCCTCTTGGCTTATAAACCCTTCTCACTTTCTGCCTCCTCATCCATGGATTTCGAATCCAGACAACAAGCCACCACCACCACCATATCATTGCTCAAACCCCTCCTCCCACTCTCCTCTTCCCTCCATTGTACCAGTGGCTGCCCCTCCAGCTCCTCCTTCTTAGGGCCCTGCCCCCACTTTCTCCTTCAGTCCTCCTGTCACCCATTCCCATAAATGGGAAAGCCCATAAATATCAATACCCTGTTTGCGTTTGTTCCCTTACTCTTACTCTCTCTTACTCTTACTCTCTCCCCCCTCTCCCCTCTCTCCCCCTCTCCTCTCTCTTCCCCCTCTCCTCTCTCTCCC